TTTTTTTGAGATGGAGTCTTGCTCTGTCACCCAGGCTGGAGTCCAGCGGTGCAATCTCGGTTCACTGCAACCTCCGCCTCCCAAGTTCAAGCGATTCTCCTGCCTCGGCCTCCCGAGTAGCTGGGACTACAGGCGTCTGCCACTAAACCTGGCTAATTTTTTGTATCTTTAGTAGAGATGGGGTTTCACCATGTTGGCCAGGCTGGTCTCAAACTCCTGACCTTGTGATCCACCTACCTAGGCCTACCAAAGTGCCAGGATCACAGGCATGAGCCACTGCACCTGGCCCATTTGTCAGGGTTGGAAGTGTTCATTCTCCACTGGTCCCAGGGTTCATAAAGATATATGGCCCTGCAGGTAATGACTCCAGAGCAGGCTTCCTATAAGCCTTCCCACTGTAAACTCCTTGCATTTTATCATGTAGACCCAGTGAGCACAACGCCATTTTTCCCACGTCCTTTCCTTTTCCAGGATGATTGGCTCTATGAAGTTTTAATGACACATTACTTCTCTGCCAGGAGAGGCACACATTTCCACTGTCTGGTTCACTTTCCACAATCACCACAACACTGCTCCCTCCTTGTGCAGAGAAACAAAGAAAACGTGGCTGGCATTCACTATTTGCTTGGCTTTTCTGCAAATCATGTACAAATCTACAAACAAAATCTTTTGCCTAGATGGCATTTGGGGTCATTTCTGACCCAGCAAAGAAGGCACACATCAGTTGTTTTATGCAGAACCTGAGATACTTTGACATATTCTCAGTCAGTGGAGGAAGATCCATGGACAATGCTTGACGGTATGCTACCTGCTTCTCAGGCTGCATGAACTTGTGCGCCAGCGACCTCATCCCTGCTGGCCACAGCGAGTGCCACGGCACCCCAAGGCCATGGGAAGTCAGAGAGGGGAAAGCCAGGACCTCAGCCCACCTGGCTCGTTTTACAGAGGGGGAGACAGGCACAGAAAGGCCAACAGGTGTCAGAAGAGCAAACCCCCCACCGCGCATGCTGTTCAGGCCCCATTACTGGTTTTATCAATGTTGTTTTAAGGAATGACAATAAATGATTTTAAAATTAATTGGTAAGCTGGGCACAGTAGCTCACACCTATAATCCCAGCACTTTGAGAGGCCAAGGCAGGTGGATTACCTGAGGTCAGGAGTTCAAGACCAGCCTGGACAACATGTTGAAACCCTGTCTCTACTAAAAATGCAAAAATTAGACCATCATGGTGGTGTGCACCTGCAGTCCCAGCTACTCGGGAGGCTCAGGAGGGAGAATCTCTTGAACCCAAGAGGCGGAGGTTGCAGTGAGCAAAGATTACATCACTGCACTCCAGCCTGGGCAACAAGAGGGAAACTCCCTCTCAAAAACAATAAGCAAAAACAAATTAATTTGATAAAAGCTATAAGAAGAACTATGACCTTTCCAATTTCTGGGCAACACATTTGGTAATACAGATAAATGTTTTTCCACCTACAGTCACTTTTTTGGCCATGAAAAAAAAAAGACTTTCTTTCCATTAAAAGGAGTTGTCATTCTCTCTAAACATAAAGATAATGTATTACTGTAAGGCCTGCAATGGCAAATCAGTGTCATCTCAAGTACCCCAGCAGTCAGCGGAGCCTGGCGCGTGCCCAGGAGGATTCCTCAGCCAAATGTGGACTTGGCAGAAGTTTCAGGATCCAAAACACAAGGGGACAGCGTGGGGAGGGGGCGCATGCTGTGTTTCTGAGACCAGACGCCACCCATGTCCGGGGCTGAATGGCGGGATTGTGAGGAGACAGGCAGTGGCTTCTTCATCCCAGCCCTGAGCCTGCTGGTAGATTCTCAATGGACGTTTGTCTAATGAATGAATGGTGACTACGTATGTGTCTGTTTCCTTAGAAGCCGGCACTGTCCTGGATGAGGTCTCTCCTCTCTGACCTCCAATGGCCCTGGGGTGCTCTGGCACTTGCTCAGCTGGCAGGGACGAGGTCCACTGGCACACAACATTTTCTCTGCTGGGTAACCAATTCCTGACACACTGGGCGTCCTCAACCTTTTAAAGCTCTCCTCGCCCCGGTGCTCACCTCTCACTTGCGGACTCACTGGACACATGCTGGACAGGCACCTGATCTGCACCGTGGGCAGGCTCGCAGCCTGCCCAGGGTTAGTGCCTTGTAAGTCACTGTCCCAGAGCAGGGAGCAGGGGCTGGGTCCCAGGTCACTGTGTGTCCACTCCTGGGGCCACCACTGCATCCCCACAGAGTCCAAAGCCGGCATCACCTCCCCAACTTCACAGACCAGGAGGCCAAGGCTTGGGAGGACAGGTGAGCCATCACGCAGCACAGCTGACCCGGCATACACAGACCTGCCCTACTTCCCAGGCTGCGAGGGTTGGGAAGGGACCCCACCCATATGGGAAATGACAGCACATCCAGGGGACCCAGAATGTGGAGGCTGGGAAGGACCCTCCCAACAGCACCTGGGAAAGGCTGCATCCAGAAGGGACCCTGGACCCCAACCCACGGCCCCCACCTGTTCAGGCCACAGACATGGCAAAGCGCAGGGAAGAGAACGGCTGGGACTCGGGGGCACCCACCACGTCGGATGGGGACGTGACCTCCACAGCCAAAGTCCAGCTCCCCACAGACACAGCTTCTAACTTAAAGCTGAAGGTTCCACTCACAAACCCACCCATGCTACCATGAAGTCAGGGGCCAAAGCACTTTCACCAAAACTTCTTAGAGAGCCATACACATCCAGCAGTTTAAGTTGCTTCCAACATAATTCAACATTCCTAAAGCAAGCACATCAATCAGAGTTAAAAGCACAGAAGCCACTGGGCTGGGCTGGGCTGCAGGGCGGTCCGCTTGGTTCCAACAGCAGGGTGGACACAGCTGAAAAGAGGCCCCGACCAGAGCCACGAAGCAAAGCAACAAGAAAAAAAAATGTTTCTTATTTTTTCCCCTAACCACTAGACCACCAGGGATTTTTTTTAATTTTTAAAATAAAATATTAAGGGTTCCCAGGAAGCAATGCAGAAGCACTTTGGGACCTTACACAAATTGCAAATATTCTCTGAACCTCAATTTCCTTATCATCTGTAAAATTGCGCAAATGGGATCATCTTATGGGGAGGCTGACAGAGGCCGCGTGGGCAAGGCCTAACGCGAACGGCAGGTGCCTTCCCGAAAGTTCCCCCTGGAGAGGGCTGAGTTGCAAGTAAATTGCTATCCTCAGAATGAGGGAATGCCATGGCCTGGGACAGTGTAGATACCATGTCACCCAATCCTTGATTTCCAGATGGGGCAACTAAGGCCCAGTGGGGTGCGCAGACCTTCCCGGGCTTTGTGCTTTTCCGTGGAACTGCATAGCTGCATGGGAGTCTCTGAGCCGCCCCGGAGGCCACTGCCTGGTGGCGCAGAGTCCAGGGAGCAGTTACCTTTGAGGCCAGGGAGGAGGATGTGCACAGAGCAGGCGTCTTCAGAGGCCGGCTGAGGATGTCCAGGCGGTGGCAGCGACAGGAAGGCCAGGCTGATCAGAACGCCCACCAGGGCCAGGTGTCCCCTCATTCTGGGCGCAGGATGCAGACTCCTACACAGAGGAGGAAAAATGAACAGTGATGGGAGCTGCAGTAGCCGGCCGCCAGTGATAGCGAGCAGGCCTCCGAGGCCAGGGGCGCAGCCCGCATGGCACCTGGCAGGGCCTCTGGGCCCCCATGGGTACTCCTCAGTCACTGGCTCCCTCAAGCACCAGTCATAAGCCTCCAGTGAGAGGCTTCCAGCGCCAGGGTCAGGCACCGGGCACCAAGAGCATGCCAGCCCCAGCCAGTAGCCTTGCTTGAAGGCCTACAGCGTGCCCACCCCAAGGAGTTCCGTCTGGATTCCTACACAGAGAACTCCTACTCAGCCGCTAGAGAAAGGCCATCTGCAGTTTTGGGATTCCCACATCAACAGCCCTGTGAGAGCCCTGCTACAAAAGCCAGGGCAGCAGGGTCCGGACATTGCCCCGAAAGCCAGGGCCCTGTGGAATCTACAGAGACCCTACCTCTGGCTGGCGCTAGCTCGCCTTTGCAGCTAGAAGTCCTGCTGCTCGGGGAGTCCTCCCAGAAATGTGTGGAGGCCAGGATGCCCACGGCAGCCCTGCAGCTTGAAGGGAAGTCATTTGAAACCCTTCTCCCAAATCTGAAAAAAATCCCCTCTAATGGTAATAGACAGAAGGATGACGTGGAGACCGCTAGCGTCAGCGCCTGGAACATCCCATGTTAGATGTCCTTTACCACTGAGGCAAGGGTTAATGAAGGGAGGGGGAAGGGAGACAGGGTTAGAGGCAGGGCGGAGCCAGAGCTTGGGCGTGCAGGTTGGAGAGCTTCACTTGCCGAAGATGACAGAGCCTGTCCTAACTCTGTGAAAACTTAGAGGCCTTGAAGCCGAGGCCGCCTCTCATCCTGGGTGTTCAAGAATGGCTCAGGGGAGAAAGGTCCTTTAAAGCTCAAAGTCACAGCGGCTCACACCTGTAATCCCAGCCTTTGGGAGGCCAAGGCCTGCAGACTACATGAGTCCAGGAGTTTCAGACCAGCCTGAGCAACATGGCTAAACCCCATCTCTACAAAAAATTAGCCAGGTGTGATGACACACACCTGCAGTCCCAGCTACTGTGCAGGCTGAAGTGGGAGCATCACCTGAGCCCAGGAGGCTGAGGGTGCAGTGAGCCATGATCACACCACTGCACTCCAGCCTGGGCAGGCAGAGGGACACCCTGTCTCAAAAAAAAAAAAACACACACACACACACAGGAAAGAAAAGAGAAGAAAAAGCTCAAAGTCACAGAAAGTAAAGCAATGAGCTTTGGCTACGCCATGATGGTCCACACGCCAGCCTGTCACCAGAGGCCCTGCTCAAATCTCGGCTCCACTCCCGCCACTCCGGGCCCCCCTGAGTGTGTGGGAAAGGTGGTGGAAAAAGGGGCTAATTCAGAAACTGCCCACTCCCACCTTTATTCAAACATCCTGCAAGAAGCCGCAGGAATCGGAAGTAGGTATGACTTCACAAAGCGCAGGCACGGGGAAGCCAGGAGGAAAGTGGGGGCTCCCAGCTCCCGCTGAGAAGGGGCATGGGTGGGAGCCCGCCCCATGCAGTGACACAGCCATCACGGGGCCCGGCATCGTCCTGTTGAGGCCCTCATCATTACTAACATTCATGACAGAAAATTTCAAATACACACAAAACCAGGACCATGAACCTCCATGTACCCATCACTCAGCTTCAGCAATGGATTATACCTCCAGCTGCCATTTTTGATGCTCACTTGCTAGTTCATTCAGAGTTAATGTGTGTATACAACTACAGGATGACGAGGCCTAACCACACAGCACACACTTGTGAGCGCACCTGCCTGGCCAGCCCCGAAGCCCCAGCCCCGCCCCCATCCACACGGCCTCCCCTGAGGGACGCCATCCCAAATGTGAACCCCTCCTCTGACAGGGTTTAAGCAGCATTCCTACATTATTTGTTCTTAAGCCATATTCGGTCAAGTTTGCTTGTTTTTGTTTTGGGGACAGGCAGTGTGCCATCCTGGCTCATTGCAGCCTCAATTTCCTGGGCTCAGAGGATTCTCCCACCTCAGCCTCCCTCGTAGCTGAGATTACAGGCATGTGCCACGATGCCTGGCCAATTTTTGTCTTTTTTGTAGACATGGGGGTCTCACCACGTTGCCCAGGCTGGTTTTGAACTCCTGGGCTGAAGTGATCTGCCCTTCTCAGCCTCCCAAGGTGCTGGGATTACAGGCATGAGCCACCGCACCCAGCCTTGCTTGCTTTTGATAAGATATCACAGCACAGTATATATAGTCTTCAGTGTCTTTTTTACTCAACTTTATGTGGTTGTAGCATATGGATTATCTAATCTTATGAAGGCAGAGTGCATGCCACTGGCAGGTGCTGGAAGGAGAGGAAGGGTACAGCCGGTGGCGGGGAGCTCACCCTCGTGACTGTGGGGCTGGCAGGCCAGCGCTTGCCTTCCTGCACCATGGAGGGGCCGTGGCCGAGGCCTCCCGGGACTTTGCATCCTGAAGGCAGTGAGTGAGGGGCAGCCACATGTCCGCTGAACCACTTCCCAGTACCTTGGCCACACCGCAGGCACTTTGCAAGCCCCGTTCTTCTCCTAAAACGGAGATAGGAACGGCCGGCACGGTGGCTCATGCTGGTAGTCCTAGCACTTTGGGAGGCCAAAGCAGGTGGCTCATGAGGTCAGGATTTCGAGACTGGCCTGGCCAACATGGTAAAACCCTGTCTCTACTAAAAATACAAAAATTAGCCAGGCATGGTGGTATGTGCCTGTAATCCCAGCTACTCGGGAGGCTGAGGCAGGAGAATCACTTGTACCCGAGAGCGGAGGTTGCAGTGAGCCAAGATCATGCTACTGCACTCCAGCCTGGAGACAGAGTGAGACTCCACCTAAAAAAAGTAAAACAAATCAAAATAAAATAAAATGGAGCTAGGCTATTCTAAGGGATAGCAGAGGAAATTAATGCCTGTGGCACCGTGACAGTGTGGCACATGGAAATGCTCGTCCAGTGGCAGATACTGATCCTCCTGTGATTACATGAGTGGGCTCCGAGTCCAGGGAAAGGGCTGGAAGCTCCTCATCTGAGAACACCTGTGCCCCGCACAGTGCCTCTGTGTCAGTTCTCCTACGGAAGAGACACAGGGAGGCCGTTTCCAACCAGTGCCATCCTGCAGTGCAGGGCATCGTGCACCAGGCGAGGACCTGGTTCTTCTGCAGAGTCCCTCGTAGAAACGGCCTTGTGAAGGACCAGGTGCAGAGTGTCCACTGAGTTGGAGAAAAATAACTCCCATCACTGCACAGAGATCGGCACCATCAGGCTCACGCCACAGATGAGGAAGCCAAAGAAAAGAGACATTAAGACGCTTCCCTGCATTGTGTGACTAGCGCGTGGTGAGGGTGGGGCAGAACGCCAGGGCTTCCCCTCGCTGTCGCTGCTTTCCTCTTTCTCCCGGCTCTCAGCTCCCCACGCACCAAAGGAAGGGCCCCTTCCTCCTCCAGTCATGACTGTAAGGACTTTTTAAAAATAGGGTTTGACAGAGAGAAAAGGAGCTCATATACATTGTATACCAAATGTGGACACATATCTGATTTAATTCCCACAACAGCCTTGTGCAATATTACAATTCCTCAATGCAATATGGAGAGGCGAACAATCAGCCCCAATTCCACCACCCGGCCATGCAACTGGGCACTCTGCCTCTAGCCTCCCTGCACACCCACAGCCTCCCTCCAGCCTCATTCCACACCCACAGCCTCCCTCCAGCCTCCCTCCACACCCACAGCCTCCCTCCAGCCTC